AATTGATTATATATACCCATATAGAATTCAAAATAAAATCTATATTTAAAAGGTATAGTACAAATTAACTAAGAAATACGCAAGCGTTTTTTTTTTGAATCATTTAAACAATTACGCGAAAAATCTATGCTGTTTTTAGATTGAGTAATAATAAAAAAAAAAAAAAGGAAAGCACGCGTAGAGATTGGATCCAGTTAGTATAACTTAACTTATAAACCAATCTTATATAGTTGCATTGTTTTGTTATAATTGTTCACAACATTGGAAATTTCGTTATTTTTTTTGTATTCTTTGGCTTTATTAACTAGACGTTTATGCTTCAAACGTAAATTATAACTAAATTCTTTTTCGTTAACTAATAAAAAAAACCAATTAGAATATTTATTAACTACGAAAATTTCACATATTATTGAATATAATTGAATATACCTCGATTTAAATTAAAATTTAATCTTGAGTCATTTTCTCGAATCTTAAGGCCGATCGCAGTGCTAACGAACTTATAATTATCAATATCATTTTTCACACGTTTAATTTCTTCTACTAGTGTATAATTGTTTTGAAAAAGGTTTCCTTTAAAATGTGAACATAATTTATTATTAGATTAATTGATTCATACCTTTATTATAATTATTTAGCGAACAATATTAGTAAATCATTTTACCTCTATGAAGAGCCTTGAATTGCTTTGGACAGTTCACATAATTTTTTTGGGTAAAGATTCTCATACGAGTACTAAATTGCCTTTCCTTAACCTTACGAACGACTAGCTTTTGGCTGCTCATAAATTGCTTTGAATCGTTCATATAATTTTTTTGGCTTAACTGGCTTTCTTGTTGAACATTGTTAACCTTATTTCTGCCACTCACTTCAAAGATTACAAATGTTATGAATTTGTATTTCGATAATGCCAATGCTATTTTAATTGAAAAAATACATTCTTACCTTGGTACTGAATAGCATTTTTAAAATCCATAATATACGCGTTTTTTTCTGAAAAATTAATAACAAGATATTCAGAAAAGAGTTTTCTTGCGGATAAGCGAAAGAAAAGAGTATGTGAATCAATTTATCAGATTAGGTATGTGTCCCACACAACCGATTTTTTATATTAGTTCCAGTCGATGATAATACAGCATTTAAAATTTCTATATATTATAGATTAAGCTTAATATAAAGAGTAAAAAAAGCACATGAACAGTGAATAAATCTGACAATATATAGACAGTACTCTTTTATAATGTAACAGTAAAAATATAATAAGATCTGCAATATGCGTAGTTATTTTATATTTAGTTTGCTAATATAGAATAAATAACTGGAAACTTGTTCTCGATAGTAAATAATATATGCTATAATATACAGTCTTACTTTGACTCGCAAATAGAATGATTCCTGTGTAAATAAGCACTATATATAAAAAAGTTAAAAGTTTAATAATATATAAGATTCTTACTGGTATATATTATAAATATATAACTTATCAAGTCAGCCTTGCCATTTTATTTCCAAAATTTAACTTTCTAACTCGTAAAAATGGATGAATCCTCGAATGTAAATGAACCTAACAAACTTGTTCGACATTTGATCACAGTTTACGTAAATTTTGGCATTTTTTGCTTTTCAACTACTTCTGGAATTCAAGCAAGTTTTTACTTAACTAACGTATTTATAGTAAGTCTTTGATTAGCGCTTTAAAATATAATATTATGTTAATTGTTATTTTAATTTATCATATTGTTTTAATTGATTAGGCTTACTTACCACCGTTTTTAACTCTTCTTTGGTTAATAATAAGCATCATTATCGCCACCAAGACATCTAATAGAAAATTGCGATTCAGTTTATTATTGGTATGTTCGTTTGATTTCTTGTTATTTAATTTATTATCGTACATGTCTATTTATTCTTTCTTTTAGGCATTAGCCTTTTTGCTAGGACTCTCAATTGGGATTGGATTCAAAATCATCTTCTTGATCCCTGAATTGTAATTCCTTTTTAATTATTTCTTTTTCTTTAATTACTACCACAAAATAATTGATAAAATTTTTCGACCATTTACAGGAGCCATGATGCAACTAAATTCTGCAAATTGAACTTTCTAATTTTTATCTTTTTCGTAGTACTGCTTTTATTCAACAATACAATTATTACAGAACTTGGACTCATTGGGAAATTTGTAATTTCTATATATGTTTGGTATTCATTCGTTAACTTCGGATAGATTAATTGTTTGAATTACATTAGATTCAATTTGAATTATTATTCTGAATGGTTTTGTGTAATAGGTATAATATAATGCATTTCTCATACTTTTCTCATCGTAACTTAATATATTAATCATTTTTTCATTACGCAGCCTTATTTGGAATTGAATTTAATATCCTCCATTATTATAATCATACACTTTTTTTTGTTATCATTTGTACTTTTTTGAACTACATTATATTCGCTTGGTTTTCCGATTTGGATTTAATTGGATGTCTTTGCTTATTTGGTATATATAATCCATTTATCACAATTTTTTAGTTCAAATACAGTATTAATTATTTTTATGTTTCTGTATTTACAGCCTTATTCGGAGTTAAAAATCATATTTATCATTTGGCAAAATCGGGATCTCGTGATATTATAGAGCATACATTCTATTTGTTTACTTTTTTTGTCTTTTGTCATTTAATTTTATTTGAATTATTAATTCAAAAATTGAAATTAGCTGCACAATAATAGATGGGTGACTGTCAGTTGTTTTCGGCCCAAATTAAGTTTAATTTGGGTCGAAATTAGAATTCATTAATAAATTGTAATTGCTCCCTTTTGAAACGTGGTTTTTATTGCGTTTTGCAAAAAGGTGTGACTCCATGATTTTTGTGATGATGATCGATGGAAATTTCGAGTTTATCCCACCAAAATTTTTGACGTGATAAACTCGAATTTTGGTGTGATAAACTCGAATTTTTATGTGATAAACTCAAATTTTTAAAACCGGTTCCAACCTCTATTGCAAACCTTTTCTGTCAACTCATAAATTTTTTTTACTTATCGCGTTATTGTCAGAATTATAGCATATAATATTAAAATCGAGAAAACACAAAGCAAGTTTTTCGTACTGGTATTGACTTTTTTTTATATATTTACACGGGTTAAATCTATAAAATCCTATATAAGAAATATTATAAACCAAGTTTTTTGTTTCCAGTTATTTATTCTATTACGCATAGTATATTGTAGATCTTGTATTTTTCTAATTTTGTTTTTTAAAGGTATTTTTACTTTATTTTTTTATATTGTTGCCAGTTTTTTTAAATATAATACTGTAATAACACTATATATATATTGTAGATCTTGCATATAATGTTCTTAACTTAATCTTGTTTACATGAGAATTCATCAAACTGAAATCTGATAAATTGACTCTCATTCTCCCTTATCCTTTTTGTTTACAGCAAGACAGATCCTTCTTTGAATACCTAGGTAATAATTTTTCAGAAAATGCACACAGAATTTAATTAGTGTAGATTATGTATAAGAATAAACAAATTCTGTTTGCATGTTACTCATTATTTTAATGTCAAGGTTGTATCTCGTTTGTCTAGGAATTTATTACAAAAAATTTTTGATTAAATGCCTATCAATAACGCTAACGACTTGGTTTAAATCCAAAATAAGCATATGTTTTTATTTCTATTAATCAAAAGTAACAAACTCTTTGAATCAATGCGTTTAGTAAATTATGTTTGTGTGTTTATGCTTTCTAGACAATGAAGTGATCGAAGAGAACTTTCTTCACAGAGGTAATCTCATTCTTTTTTAGCATAATTAATCAAAAGTAATGAATTCCTTGAATCAATGCATCAATAAATTATGTTCGTTTTAATATAATTTTTAACAATTTCTTTGCTATAAATAAAACAGTGAATTTTTCTGAATCAATTAAGGACCTTCGAGAAATTGTGCCTAATGGTTCTGAGTTGAACGATGTAGATTTGCTAAAGAACGGTGACTTGCTTTCCGTTATTTTTGCAATAAAGATCTTTCACTGAATATTAATAAAGTGGTTCATTTTTTTGAAAGCTGCAATTTTTTTACGATACCAACACATGAGTAACATGCAACTTTTAAAGGAATTGAAAATTAAAGATACAATAATTATTGAATGTATGATTATTATAATATATAATTTTGTTCCTTAAGTAAACCGCTAATATTTATATTTTATCTCTAGATGCTAGAAATTTTGAAATCCAAAATTCCGAAATCATTCGCCTTAGAAACTTCTATAATTATCTTGAAGCAAAGTTGAATAACGTAAAAGAATTTGTCTCAAAGTCAAACACTCATTGAAGAAATACCAAGTCAATTAAACAAGCAACTCGATGAAGTATATGCACTTGGATTGTAAGAAAATAATAGATTTTGGTTTATTCATGGGATTTAATTTGATTGTAATTTTTGTCTATTGAAAGTTCCAAGAATAAATAATTGCGAATAACAAAATTAGTTTTGAATCAGACTATCTGTTGTTGATTTTATGTCCAATTTTTTGATATAATTGAGCTTAATTTTGAAAAATGTCTCCAAGAAATTCAAGACAAAAAGAAACAAAAAATATAACTAACTCCCTGGCTCCAAAAAAATATGGGCGAGTAACTAGAAAAGAAAAAAGAAAAGCAAGGTTATTTAATAGACAAGTCGTAGTTAAAAAAATCAAAGATCAAATTAGGCGTCTCTAAAAAAAGATAAATCTATTACTAGTCGAATTGAATGGTTTACTAGGTTGAAAGAATTTACCGAGACTTCGAGTGCTGAGAATCTTTTGTTATTTGAAAATATTTATTTAGATTTTGAAGTTAAAAAAAAAGGAAAGTGATGCTGTAATTAAAAGGTAATTATTTTTATTATATATAAATGTAAACTTTTTAACTTTATTAATATTTCTTAAAATTTTTTCCATCTTACGTCAAGAAACCAACCGACTTCGAATAGAACTTAGTGAAGTTAAGAATAACTTCGAACAACTTAAAAAGAAAAGGATGGGCTCAAGCAATATTATAACAAAACTCAATGGTACAAGTAATTATAGTATAATTACAAATGAGAGTTCAATGTGTCTGGTGATGAAATGAGCGAAGCAGTTTGTTAAATGTAAAGACATCAAAAATAGTAAAATCAATTATTTGCCAGTGTTTTTACCAATTCATATAAACTTTTTGTCTTGTAGTTTTCGTTTTTAGAACTGTAATGTAATAAAAATTGTGTAATTTGATTGGGTAATAATCACGTGTAGATCTGTAAATCGATCTAAAAAACTAGCCATTTTGACAAACTTCTGTCCCGCTACGTGAAAAGCATACCGTTTCTTATCACGTGACCTTACCACTACCTTAACGTTGGCCAAATAATCTTCTGAATTTATATTTAGCTTTGCCTCGCGCCTAATATTATATTTAATTTTGACTTTTAATTTTGCCTAGAATTATACTTAAATTTACTCGGAATTACCTGAATTTATATTTTAACTATGCTAGGAATTATACTTAATTTTGTCTGAATTTTTGTTTTAATTTAGCCTGGAATTATATTTGGAATCATACTTAATTTCACCTGCCTAAATTTATATTCTAATTTTGTCTAACTTAATTTTGCCTAGAATTAAGTCAAATCTTTGCACAGCGCAAAATATATAAAAAAAAAAATTTTTTTTTAAAATCAATAATTTGAGTTTTTTTTTGACAAATATCATATTCTATCTGTAACGATAATGTACAGTTGTATATTTTAAGCAAGATAAGTAATATATTATGTATTACACAAATTTAATTAAATAAAAAATTAATCCCATATATTATTCGAAATATACAAGATTAATATTTTAATTTATCCAATAAATCGTAATACGTAGTGTGATGAATAATTGATAATTTATATAATAATATATTCATACAGCAATAAGTTATGATATTACTGTATTTTATAACCATTTAATATAATTATATTTACCTTGATATATCAAATAAAAATTGCATATTCCTGTATTTGTTTCTATAAATTTTTTGAACTATATTAAACAGTCATGGGCAGAAACTAGATTGTATATAAAAACAATATATCTGTAGATGGTTGACGAATTTTTTGCAATGATGAAGTTGACGAAACTATATAAGATCATTGATAAAATTGACGAAGCAAGTAACTTTACTTGCTACATATTTTTGCAATATTTAAAATTCAAACATAAAATTAAAAATGTAGCCTTATTTTATAATCATTAATGCTAAAGGTTCAAAATTTTATATTCATAAAGATTATATAAAGAAATATCCAGAAACTTATCTTTATAGTTTGATGAATTTTAATAATTTGAAGAATGGTATGTGAATAATGCATACTATTTAATTAATTTTTTAATTTTATTCACAGTGAATTTATTCATTTCATAGAGTGTAAAGATTATATAAATGAAAGTGATTATGAAATTAATGTTGATTACGAACCTTATATTTTCTGTCATATATATTCGTATTATACTAGTGGAGAGTATCCGAAACGATATGATAAAAAAATATTAGAAGTTTTCGATTATTTTTTAATCAAATTACCTGATAGAAGATGGGAGGGAATGTCATCTTATTTATACAGAAAAAGTAAATTAAATTGTAAAAGCGATTTTGATTTGTGCTTTTGTGAAAAAAAAAAAGTTCAAAGATGATAAATTTTGTTATTCATATATTGAGAGTGAAAGAAAACTTTTAGAATATTGTAATAATAAAAAAAGACATGAACAAGTGTAAATAGCTATTTTCAATTTTTTCAATAAAAAAGTTTGGTTTAAGTTGTAAAAACTAATTAAATAGTAAAGAAGATTCACAAAAATAACCTTTAAGATAAAAATTTTATACAAGTCAGTCTTGTTATAGTGAAGTGATCCGTTCCATAGTAAAAATGAAAAAGAGGCAAATCTTTAAGCTTAAAAATACTTTTAAAGAATTCCAATTCTGTATACAAAAGGTAAATTAATTTTTTCTTTGTTCTGCTTTTCCAGGAAGTAATTCTAATAAATAAACAGTTGCGAGATTTACAATTACCATGAAGGTTGTACCAAAAAAAAAAATTTGACGTCTTATAAAATTTGAATAATAAATTACAGATTTTTTTACTTTTGTAAAATTTCGGGGTTTGACCAATAAAAATAGGACCCAGAAAATTTTCATGCTTGTATAGTTACACAAAGTCGTGATATTTGGTTCTGATTGACCAATGATCATCATTGTTTTGTTTTCTGGAATATTTAATAGATGTAAACAATGACGATCTTGCTTAAACTTCTTTTTTCGATACTTCCCCTTATTTTTTTCCTTTCGTAGTTTTTTTTATAAACTTTTTATGTTCTTTAGAATTGAGCTGAGATGACCATTGAACCGATGAAAGTTTCGAGTTAACACGAATACGAGTGTCTAGACATGAAACTGGCTCGCAAGAATTGACCGTAAGATATGCTCTGAGATTCGTTTGATTCGTTTTCAAACGTGCGAGGGCAAAAGTGTAGCAATTCGAAACTTTGTCGGCTCTTTGGAAAAAATTCTGGCTTGGTTCTTGGAATGAATGCTTCTTTTTTTATTTTTTTTTATTTTTTATTTTATTTTATTTTTTTATTTATATTTTTTTGTCGAAGATTTGCGAAATTGTGGAAAGTATATCTTTTTTTTCTTTATTTTTTTCTGTTATTTGAAATTACAATAAAAAACTATGATATTGATTTTTATATTTATTTTTTGAGGAAATGAATATTTTGATGTTTAAAAATGCGAGTTTTTTTTTCTTTTTTTTTTTATTGTTTTTTTTTTTCAAACGCACTTATAAACTTTTTCAGTGGAAACGTCGTTCGTAGCGGAGAAGTATTATTTTCTTGCTCGGTTCCTACTTCCCTGAGAACTCTCAAGGGTTATGCCTTTTGCCCGCATGTGACTTCTGCGCCTCTTCGAAAAAGATAATGAGATTGTTTTTTAGCGTAGTTTTCAGTTTGGTTTTCATTTCTTCGTGTGCTGGCCGTATTTCGTTTCCTGACGTTACGTTTACAGTTTTTTCGTTAACGTCTCTCTTTTTTTTAATCTTGTTATCTCTGAGTCACCAATTTTTTTTATAGTTTATTATTTCCTTTTTTTTTTTTAGTAAAAAATTAGCTACGTCATTGTTCGGAGTTTTTTTTTCTTTATGGTTTCAACTTCAACCCGTATCCAACATTTTCGAACGCTGGTTTGTTTGTATGTTTTTTTTTTACTTACCTACTAACTCAAAGCCGCAGCATACGTTGGGTAGTTTTTGAACGAAAGGTTAACGCTCGTAATGCTCGAGTATTACCCTATGAGGTAAAAATCCTCAGCCCATCAAGAACATTGTAAGGCTGCCTATCGCCCAGAACCACTCTAACCGTTCTCACGACCAGCATCCGCATGTGAATTCGAGAGAACCTGGTCCCTTGGTGAGATCGGTGTAAGGCTGTCCTTATGTTGGCATGAAAATGTGATTTCTAGAGAGTTCGATGATTAGAGGAAGGGTCTCTTACATGAGGTAGATTAATCGATTTATCGGTTATGATAACTTAGTGAGTAATTCCTTCTATGAGTCCCTTTACGTATTTCATAGTTAGGTTACGGGTTGGGATCTTTTACGTCGTTTTCGGTGTTGTGCTCGGTCGTTATATTCTTTTCGGGGGTTTCGGTCTGACCGGGTGAATCCCTGATAGATATCGATTTTTTTTTATTCCACAGATGCTTCCGTCTGTGGTCTGAGTTAAGGGAGGGGTATTTGGTCGGTAGGGAAGCACAGTTTGTTTTCCATAATCTCACTGAAATAACATGTTTTTCCCTGGTCAAACCAAAAAGAACCGACATGACCTTTGTTCGTCAAAGGGCCCTCGAGGGTTAGATACCTCGCGAAAAACTAACTGCCAGAAGTGGTGAAAATACTGGGGTGTTTTAAATTAGTTTGTTCCCACGGTTCGTCCGCTCTAATACGAAACAATCCGTTTTATAAAGTTTTCGTGATAAAAAATGAACCTCTGGGTTCGCATTGGTCTGGTTTTTCGTTTCGTTGTTTTCGGAAGATCAAGGTGTGGTGCGAGCAAAAATATATAACAACGTCGTGTGATTTTTTTCACGCGGGTGCGTTTATTACGGGGTTTCTATGCATGGAAAAATGAAACTCCCCTTCATCGAAGGTTTGGCACGCCTCGACGATTGTATTTGTTTTTTTGATTTTTGACGGTCTTTCGACCTGGAAAAATCGAACTTTGAATTAAATTATTCATAAACTTTAACCGATCTGACCCGAGGATCGTCACTACTCGGTTCCTTTAATTCGTTTTCTCTTCCTCTCCTTTATGATTCCTTTATTATTTTTTTTAATAAATTGATTATATATATTATATTTTTACACATAAAAATCTGTAGTCGACTTTTTGTAAATTTAAATATAAAATCATTTAAATAAAATTTATTAGACTTTGAAATAATTATTTTAATAAAAAAAAAATTATACAAAGAGATCAGTAATCAAATTAATCGGATACTTCGCGATTCTTTAATTCTTCACGGATTACGTTTCGTTTTTCGGTCTTCTAAATCCTAAACCCATTATATCTATTCCAGAGGCTGTGTTCGGTGATCAAAAAAAAGTTTATTAGAATAATTCATTATATATGATTAGCATTATCCTTACTCAACAACTAGCAAAATAAACATCAATACTAGCACACTTTTTGACAATAATTTTAATACATAGGCCTGAGCATCCAACCTACTATTCATATAAATGGAAAAGTCATTTTTTTTCATTTGAGGATGGAGAAATATTTGATCTTCAAATTTTTAATCAGTTTTCTCTTGAAAGCGTACAATCGAGTGACGGTTCAAAAATAATAGATGAAATAAAGGATACTATTATTGTCTGATGAAAAATCTTTCAACAAAAATGAAAATATACTAAGTTAATGTTTATTGGAACAAACATTAGAATGATCAGCATTATCCTTACTCAACAACCAGCAAAATAAACATTAATGTGGTACAAGAAAATGATAGATGACAACATGCAAAAAAGATGAACAAATAAAATGCATATCCTATAAATCCTGATTTCGCAAAGTGACTAATATTAAGTTCACCTACAAATGTGACTGACAAAATGTAAAAATTATAATGAAGCTCTGAACGGTCTAAATCGATCGATTGTTAAACATTTATTCGAATAATCCATACTTGTTGAAAATTCGCGCTGAAGAATACCGTAAACTTTGCAGGCATAACGAAGCTCTCACCGATCTTCACAAAGCTTTTAAATGTCTAAATCTATTGTTAGACATACATCCGAATGATAAGGATGTGTTACGGTTTCAAGGAGAAGTAATGATTGATATTTCGGCTGAATTACTGAAAATGAATCCAAATAACGAAGAAGAGATATTGCATATCCGAGCTCAAGCATATACTAAAATCGGTAAATATGACGAAGCTTTAGTCGATCTGAATAGATTATTAGAAATTAATCCTAAGATTGAGTATTCGAGCTCAAGCATATACTGCGATTAGTAAAAATAATAAAGCTTTAGTCGATCTGACAAGATTATTAGAAATTCATCCTGATAATAAGAAGGCATTAGAATGTTTCGTTCTTATGAATAATGATGAAGAGAGTTCATATCATAAATTGAAAAATATTATGATGAAGAGAGTTCAAATAATAAATTGAAGAAATATTTTGATGGGAAATTGTAGTAATTATATATTCATAATGTGATTTTCTTGACGAAAATTATTTCAATTCATTAAATAAACCTGACCCCATAAAATTTTTTTGTAAAATTTTAAAATTAAAAATTTTTAAATAAAACCTTGTAAAATCTTTTCACTATGAAAATCTCGATGTTCAAATATTTTTTAATAAGCAGACAGTATTAGCATCAATTTCAATTTATACTCTAGTGTTAAAAAAATTATTTTAATTATTATTATGATGATCATAAAGATTACTAACGTAATACAAATGACGTAATTCGTGATCTTTTTCATGATTGGTAAATTGCATCTTATTGGCCAAATTTTATTAGTTTAATCAATAGCGATAGCGATATCAATAGAATTTATAGTTCAGCCATTATCAATTTTTCTAATATTGATATTAATAATAAATTACAATAGAGAAACTGAAAGAACAAATAAAGAGTATGTCCTATAATGTCACAAGTATTACGAAATCCTGACTGAGCAAAATGATAAATATTTTTTTCAATATTAAATAAGACTACAAATAATAATAATAATTAATACTTATTTGATTTAAATATAAATATAATAAAAATTGGATATATACCTATTAAACAAAACCATCCAACGTAGTTCAATTCTGAATACCGAACAAGGATAGCGAAGCCAATAAAATTCAAAAATGAACAACTGATGAAAAAAATGCAGATAACCCAAAAAAGTGTATATCCCAAAATTTTACGAAAAGACCCGGATGGAGCAAAACGACAGATATGGTTATAAATTTCAATTCCAATTAAGACTATAAAATGGAAAATAATTAGTGCTGTACTTGAGTAAAAAACTTATTAAATGCTTTTATATATACCAAATAAACAAAACCATCCAAAATAATTCGAATCAGAATACCAGTCATTGTTAACGAATTTGTCGTTAAAAAACCTGCTATAGTTAACGAATGAATACCAATTCCAAGTTGAAATCACAATTCTTAAAATGAATACAACATCTATGATTATCTTTTTGTTGGTTGCTAAAGGTAGCAATACGAC